CGGCCCTTGCTGAGGCTGTGACAGGGACGGCTGCGGCGTACCAGGGCACGGGTGAGGTGCAGGACAGGGTACGCCGGTCCTTGGGCAGAGCCAGGCCGGAGCAGGCTGCTTTCTGTGCCACATCCCAAGCTGGCGTCCCCCGGGAGCCCCTTCCAGCGAGGTGCCCGAGCCTGTATGCAAAGAGACAAGCAGCGCTCTCCCAAAACTTAGCTTCGTTTTGCATCTTCTCTGCAACTCTGTTCCCTGTCCTGCCTCTTGCAAAGTTAGATGTAACTTCTGGAGCAGTGAGGCGGCTTCTCGCACGCAGTACTGGGAAAGTACAGCAGGAGATTGGTCTTCACCAAACCCCTTGGTGTTTCGATGCATCTGGGACATCCCAGAGATTCATTCAAAATGAAGCCTTTAAAAAAATACCCTTTTGCCAAAATCTGAATTAACCGCAGGAAACCGAAGCAGGTTGCAGTTCCTGGCCTTGTTTTTTGCAACTGGTTTTGCGCTTTTAAACCTAGGTAGCAAGGCACAACACATACCAGCGGGGGCTTGAGAAAACCCTTTGTGCATGAGACAAGAATATCCTTGGAGCAGCAGGGAAACTCCACCACCTCTCTTCTCTGAGCGCTCAGCCCTTCAAATATTTACCTGGAAAACTCCCCCAGGCTCTCCAGTGTGATATACTAAATCTGCAAATGCCAAATGGAAGCGAGGCAGTGCTGGGCATGAAATAAAAGCCAGGCTGGTACATAACTCAGAGCTCAGGAAAAAAATGTGCCAAGAGAACAGGCAAGCACTGTCCAACTTTTCCTCCCTGATCGTATGAAAATTTCCTGATTAGCAGGGAGCTTTCTTCATGTTGCCAAAGCAATCCTCCATCAAAGCCATTTCCTTTATTCCCTTGAAAGCAATTGGTGTCACCGTTCTGTTCCAGAGTTATTTTGGAAATGAGGTCAAAACAGAATTATGAGGGAAAGACTGCAGAATAACAGCTCAGGCAGGTACCACGCCACATCCAGGGATGCTCCTACTCTGGCTCCGTGACTGGCCCCGCTGGAAGTAGTTGAGTAAATCCAAACTCTAGATCCACCGTCGACCGACACCTCAGCTCAGAATAAGTTTAAATTGGATTCAGTTTTAAGAGAGGCTTGCAAGCTTTAAGAGGGTCGGTTCTGGGCTCCCTGACCAGCATCCCCAACCCTGGACAAATCCCATCACCTCTCTATGCCCCAGCAACAGCGTGTCGCAATACTGACCTCTGTAACCTGTTTAAAAAAGAATAATCCTTAGGAGAGCAGGAGGAAGCAGAAAAATAGGTCTTGTCAGCTTGTTAATGGGCTTGCCAGGAGGATGATGCCAGCGCAGCTCTGCTAGCCAGGCCCCTAGCAGAGATGCAGGCGGAGGAATTGCCTTTGCTAGCGAGGTTCATGATTCCACCTTCCCCAAGGGAGTAAGCCAAAAGAAGAAAGAAACCCTGCATTTACAACCAGCCATAAGAACGGTGTTTTTTCCTCGGTCACAATGCAAAAGCTCACCTTTACTTTCTGTTCATAGACTCACGGCGCAGCTGCCCTAAACCCGGCTCCTTCTCCGAACTCAGTACTGGTGCGACAGCTCCGGCTCGCTGCCCACGGCTGGGTAACTCCACGCACCCCATCAGAGGACACTGAGGCACCAGGGCCACCACAAACTGGTCCTCGTGGAGGGGGGCATCTGCCGCACCATGAGCATAAGCCAAATAAGCCCAGCTCTTGCTGTTAACATTGGAGGCACAGGAGTCCCCCTTCCCCATAAAATGCTTTTCTCCACATTAGCAGGGTACGTGCTGGAACAGCGACTTGGCCTGTATCTATACAGCATCTTAAATAACAACCTGTTTTCCTAGAGGTCCTCATTTCACCTCCAGATTCGGGGGCTGACTTTACACCACAACAGGTTCAACGATGCTGCAGAGCAGGAGTAAAAAAAAAAAACACCAACATTTTTTCCATGTTTGAAACGTTGACCCCCAGCCTTCAAAAACTTTGACAACAGCTTTGATCTCCAAAGGCTCCATCAGCCTCGCCAGCCCCCTTAAGCCAGCCCTTCAGCTATGGCTTTTCTGGTTTTCTCTGCGCGCACCCTCCCTTGCCCACACTTTGCTTCCGAAAGTGCATCCGAGGACGTCATGCTCATCGGCCTCGAGCAGAGAGAAACGCGAAGCTGCAAGTTGCTCAGTCTTTACGATTTTAGGAGGCTCCATCAAATCTTGCCTCATCTACCTATTGCACGGTGGGTTTGGCAACCGCTGGGTGCTCCAGCGGGTTCCACCACGGCCAACGGCCCTGTGAGCCATCACTCCCAGCACACAGCACGGAGCAGGACGAGCAAGTGTGCGTGACACAGGGCACACCCGGGACGTTGCAGCTCTTGCTTTGAAGAGCTCGGAGCTCGCTGCCCTGGTTCAGCAAGGAGCAGGGTGGAGCAGCCCTGCCATCCTTACACAAGCTAAGGTCACACCGAGTTTGGGCTGGAGCTGCCAAATTTCCCGGAGCGGGACTGCCGGGAGCGGGCAGGGAGAAGAAATGGCTCTGCATGGATGGAGTGTAGGTCCAGCCCCATGGCAGGGGCAAGGAACTGACCCCGAGGGAGGACACCAACGCTGGGAGCTGCCGGCAGCCCCACCATGAATGATCGAACATGCAGAAAACTGACTGAGCTACCAGGTGCACTCGGTGTCGAAGCACCTGGCCCCTTGCATACACAGTTTGGTTTATTTATTTACAGCGATCCAAGATGCAGAGTTGCCCAGGCCAGGCCAGAGCCATCCTGGACCATGGCCGCTGACCTCCAGCACTGCGCCGATGTCACCACTGCATCCTGGCCCACCGCTGCTCCTGTCCTAGCTCACAGCACCTTGGCACTATGTGAACAACCCTTTTAAAAACCAAGAAAATACCTAGAAAAGCAGAAGTGAGTTAGCCAGATGAAGAAAAACACGATACAGGTTTGAGGCCGAGGTGGTGCCATGCAGATAAAGCACACATGACATAGAGTGACCTGCTCTTTGGGATCTTTCCAAAGTCCTGTGCTAGGAAATGGCGAAGATAAAGGTGGGGAATGGCAAAGCACACAGTAAGTACAGAGCATGCCAAAATTTCTTTGTTAAATGAAGGAGCAGAAGTACAGGGAGTAGTCCTCCTTTCAGTCTGATTTTAACTAAGAGGAAAATAAAAAGACCTATGGTTTTGTAACGCTTGTGCACTGCACAAACAAGAAATGGTTTTTCAATCCCCTGTCCTGCAGCATCCACACGCTCTCCCCGGGGATTTGGGGAGCAGAGCAGCTCCCAAAGCAGATTATGGCTTTTGCAGCCCCGTGCTGCTTTGCAATTAGACTTTTTTTCCTCTCTTGGGGCTGAAGTCTCATTAGGAGGGGAGGGCAACGCAATCTGGCCTAGTTTTAAAATGTTTGCTGGAGTAAGGAGAGATTTTGGCACCCAGGGCCGAAGGCAGGAATGTTGGCTTTGCCAGCCAAGCCCCTCCTTGCCCTGCCACCCAGAAAAAGCTGCAGCTGGAAACTGCAACAGTTTGCTGGGCTTATATACTGTGCCTCAGTTTCCCCAGCCGTAAAAGAGAGCAGAGAAGCTGGTGATCACTAGCTGCAAAGGGCACTGTGCCATAATTCAAATGAAGCGTATTGTGCGTTGGCTTTCTTCAAAGTCGGCCTGATGTGTACTCCTCAGGCTTTTTACTGATTGCACCGCATAAAAAACCAGGGTACGTGATCTTATATTTGCTGTGGAGAGGAAGCCCCGCGCTCTTTGTACTTTCCTTTTTCACTGGCAGGCAGAGCAACTGCTCAGACCCGCTAAAAACCCTACGGGTATGCTGAAGGCAGGGAGAAAGCGTTGGATTTAGGACAGGCAGGCAGATTTGGTTTAGGACAGGCAGGCGCACGAGTGCTCTCCTGCTCCCCCATAACTGATGTTCTCCTCTGCGACCTAAGCAAGGCTGACACACAACTCTCCTTTGCCCAGGGTGCCATCTTTTTAGGAGCCCGTCCACTTGTGATACCATTTTATAAATAATAGCAGCTTTTAGGAGGCCTGCCTCATCATGAGCCTTAAGTCAAGCTAAAAGGTCGCTCGAATGGGTGCGGGCTGAAATCAGGAGGTTCAGTGCTGCCCTGAAGTACACCCACCTCTGCAACAACCCAGGACCAGCGCAGCCCCCTAAATGGAGTTGTCCTTGTCTTCTTCAGCCAATTTGGGCTGGACGAAGCTCTCCAGCTTCTCTAGAACAAGCAATCGCAAGGTAGAGAAACCAGCGATGGGGAGGGAAGAGGCTGTTATCAGTTATAGCTGTAAAGGTTACATGCAGCCATGAAAACGTTGCTACAAACCCATCTATTGTAAACACCACGATTAAGTCAATCCCCACCAAAAAAAACACAACTAAAAAAAACCATTAAATGGGGATTCTGGCCAACTGTATATAAGGACTGCATTATCTCATTTTAAGTTTTAAAAATTGTAATTTTGATCTCAGCTGTACCTCTAGAGTTTAAGGCTTCTTGTGAAAGCTGAGCTAGCTTTGGGGTTAAGAGGATGACCACAGGAAGAGGAGTTACCGTCTTGCGGTTTCTTGGATGCAGTGGGATCACGTTGAAATTAAATGTGAAGCCTCCAGGCTTTCCTGCAAACATTCTGAAGTCTTGAAAGCAATCAGAGAGGGGAAAATGTGTCACTATTTGCTACAGCCTGCTCCTAATCAGGCCACCGAAATCTCCTTTGCGCCAAAGTGCTTTAGCGAAGGAAATCAGGGCTGCAAACCAGCCTTTATGTAACAGCGATGATTTTTCCCTTCTGCGCTAAGAGCCGTGCCGTACAACCCATTAGAGAAGAATTTAACTTGACGCGTCACTGGAGCGGCAGCTCAGCTCCAGGCGCTGCCGTTGCCGAGCGAATGTCAGTCCGATCATGGAAAGGTCGAACCAGGGAAATACTGGACAAAAAAAAAAGCAGGCTGTGAAGATAGGAAATGGAGCTGGGGATCCCAGTGCTACCAGTACACGTTTGTGGGGGGCGGGGGTAGAGGTTCTTGCCAGGGCATGGTGCACCCCAGCTCAGGGCAGCGCTCCCGGCTCAGCTGCCGGAGACACCCCCGAGCTTCCCAGGGATGAGATGCCTACAGATGCACCCAGACCAGACAGAGGATAAAATCTGGAGGGTGATGGAGCAGGTGGGAGGACCCGATGCCTACGTGAGCCACGTCGGGGGACTTTGGGGTCTTTATAGCGGCTTAATGGGTGCTTAAACCAAGGTACTGCCAAAGTATCCGATGAAAGCACCGAGCCTCAGTCCGCGGTGAAACCGAGTGCGAGGGACGGCACCGCCTCACCTCCGAGTCCTTGTCCAGCTGGTTCCGGACCACGATCATGTTGTAGAGCACCCGGTCATCGTCCGCCTCCGTGTGGGTCATGTCGTGGGGGGTGCTCCACAGGTTCTGCTCCTCGTCCCGTGCCAGCGTGGCTCCGAAGGAGGCGTAGGGGTTGTTGTTACTGCAAAGAGGGGGAGAGGCGAGGCAGCATTAGCTACCGCAGCATCACGCTGCCTCCTTTTACCTTCCCAGGGTAAAATGCCCATTGCTGTGGCATCCGCTTTTGCAGCTCAATGTCCTGCCTGGGAGAGGGGAGGAAGAAAAAGGGGGATATGGGCAGACAGACAGTTTTTTACCTTAGCAAACATCCTGGCCATACAAGCCATGGTTCAAACCAGGCAGCGCTGCCGTGAAAGACATCAGACACACAAATTTGCTAAAGACACCGGATATTATTTGAGTGGCAAGGATGGAGGAACTGTGAGCATCCATCTGCAAGGATGAAAGGCGGCATCTCCCCATTGCTCCCGCAGCCCCCTGCCCTGCTTCCCATCGCACCTTCCCACCCCAAACCCTGCACAAGGTCCCCCCAGCCTCTCCGAGCTTAATGTGGGAACAGTTCTAATTAACTAAGACTCAAAAATCCCAGCAGCTCTGGAGAATATTTTCTCTCTGCCCAGCTAACCCTGCAGCCGTGCCAAGATCCCAGTGGCACGGTCTGTCCCCACGGAGACTTTGTGCGTAGAGGGGTAGGTGTTGAGCAGCGGGCAAGGGGATGGCTGCGTGCAACACCTCTCCCTTGCCTCTTGGCCAAAGAAGCAGCTTCTGCCCATCTTTTCCTCAAAGGCAGTGCCGTTGGGCACGGTTTTATTTCAGACAAAACATGTGTCACCTCTGCTGAGGGAGCTGGGACTGGTTAGCCCAGGGAAGAGATGGCTCAGAGGGATCTCACCCATGTGTATAAATACCTGATCGGAGGGAGCGAAGGAGACAGATCTAGACCCTTCTCACTGGTGTCCTATGATGGGACGCACATTGAAATATAGGAAATTCTGTTTAATCATAAGAAGGGTGAGCGAACATGGGTACAGGTTGCCCAGAGAGGTTGCGGAGTCTCCATCCTTGGAGACATGGTCCTGGGCACCCTGCTCCAGCTGACCCTGCTTGAGCAGGCGTTGGACTGGCTGCTCTCCAGAGGTCCCACAGCCACGACCATGTTTCCGTGTGACCCTGCAGCTCTATTTTCTCCCCAGCAGCCCAAACCCTACCAAATCAAGCAAGCAATGCCCGCGGGTGCCCCCCACCCCAGCAGCTCCTACCCGAGAGGTACGGCGATGCACTGAGCTGCGCAAGGACCTGCGCCAAGGCACAGAAAGGACGTTTAGCCCCATCTTTTTGGGGGGATGGAAATGTCCTCAACCCGCTTGTGAACTCCAGGTTTTATTTGCTTAGCAGTCAGCAAAGCAGAGCATCGTCTTCTGGGAAGGCTGTCCCCACCAAGGCAAGGAGCTTTTCTCTGTTTTGGTGGCAGTTCTGTGTTTTATGGCTTTATGTTGCTATTGGGATGTGCTTTTTTTTTGTAGGGTTATTTAATTCTGCCAGGAGAACATTTAGCAAAGGATTTCCATAATTCTTCTAATCAAGATGTCCAGACACTTGAGCAGAACAACACAAAAGGAGAAATATTTTCAGCCTTATGCAATATTCTCATCAGCCATCCTGTGGCAATCCCTGCTCACGTCTTGTTAGAACAACCCACTGTTTGGTCTATTTGCTACCCAAACCCCATTCCTTTCGCAAGGAACCCATCCAGCGAAACCGCAGATAACACTGCGGGCGCTTTAGCCGCGATGCCAAGCCATAAGAAAGATGCTAAGAGGAGCCCCAGCGCATAGATAAAATAGAAAAAAATCATTTTTTTTTCCTGCAGGAAGGTTAATTAGACTTTCAACAAACCAAAAACCTGAGCAACAGGTAATGACGGAAAAGATAACTCTTATACTCTCTCATTAAAGACAAGCAAACGAATGTAACTTGGAGGGCGTGGATGGCACAACTCAGCCGTTCCTACACCGGAGCCAGCACAGGTTCGCTCAAACCGTTTTTCAAAGATGGAGCAAAGGGGATCCCAGCCTGGAAGGGCTCACTCAGGAGCCAGCCGTGCCATCGGCATGAGGTCAGTCCCATCCTGCCTTCGACAGGCTTCTTCCCGCTCCCTGACTTACCGGTACCCTTAACATCTGACTTGCTTTAAAACCCAGTGTTTGGCAATAACACTAACACGCCTTAGCTTTTACGAGCCACTCCCTCACAGCTCGCAAGGTACTTCCCGATGCATCTCTATGTCCAAACTGCGGCACGGAGCATCCAGCAGCCTGTAAGGGACGCGGGCAGTGCCCAGGAGTCAGCAAACCCACACAAGCACGGAGAGCTCTGCCAACAACAAGTAACCCCCGCGCGTGCTGGACTTCCAAGCAACATTTAAAATTAAGAAATTGGAGGAAAAAAAAAAAAGGAGCACGTGAACGGCAGCCTGCTCTGCAGGTTACAGGAGTCTCCGCGGGACCGGAGGGGACTCAGAGCACTGCACACCCTGGGCTTTATCCAGAAAATGGTGAGGGCTAATGCTTCATCAAGAAATTTCTGCTCCAGAGGACTTTCAGTCCAGAGTAAACTCATTTGGGAATTCGGAGCCTGAATTCTCGGTTTATTTGAATCCTGAGGGCACCGTCTGAGCCAGATCCCACCTTTGTGCATCGACAGTCAAGCAGGCAGCCTGGATGCGTTGCTGCAGCAGCCCGGCTCGCTGGCTTTGTCCGGGGTTTCTTTTCCCAGCCCCGCGCTAGCGCTGTGCCTACATCCGTGCTCCATCCCCACCTCCACACACAGCGCTGGCTGCTCTCACTGGCCTCGTCACGGGTTACAGCCAGCCTTGTATACGCTCAGGTAATATATGCACTTAATTACACACACATTACTTCCTCCTCACTGCTTCGTTCTTTGACATGTCGGATTTATGAGGCTGCAACCACTCTGCTTGGGGAAAATAAGGTGAAAAGTCATCAAGTCAACACGTCGATAGCAGCTCCAGCTCCCAAAAAGTAAAATTCAGCTAAAAGATCTGAAATCTCAAGCAAGTCAGTCATTTTAAACAACGGTCCGATGAAGATAAAAACACAGCGACCGTGCTCTTGCAAGATCCCCACTTTGAAATAAAACCCCAAAGCCTCCCGAAGAGGGACAAGCCAGCGATTAGGCTGTTAGATTAATTATACTGGCGCACTTGTGCAAGAGCAGGCGCCTTTTGCATTTATACAGGCTTTCCTACTTAGAGCCAGCATTAATTGGATCGCCGGCAGAAGGCATGTTACTAAAGAAAGGTGCCCGGTGAGGAACAGCCACCTCGGCCAAGGCAGCGGGAAGGAGCCTCTCCGCATGTGTGCTCGGCTCTTGTTAGATTAAAGCCAATTTCCTGGGCTGGAGGCCCCATGCTCAGGATTAGCGGGTTATTATTTAGGTTACTGCTTTAACAGAACAAAATCAGGACATTTCAAGCCCTGTCGCTGGCTCTGCTCTTACCTGATACCTATGTAGGCCACATCGGGAGCATTCCACCCTCCTTCTTGAAATGCCTCTGTCCCACCGATGACACAAGGAGGGCACGGTCCCTGCCCCGTCCCAGGGCTGGGGTACCCGCTGTGGGCTTTGGCGGCAGCCGGGGAAGGAAGGAGAGCTGCGGCAAACCCTGCGCACGGATGTTTTGCAACACACAAAACCTCCTTACGTGCTTGCACAGCTCTTCTCCGCGACTCGGCGCTTCGTCTTTTCATACAAACCAACCTCCCAACCTCACGGCTCCGTGCACAAAACGGATGCGACCGAGAGCGGGAGAGAAAAATCTGCTCTCAAGAGACCAGCACACGCACTGCTTTCACATAAAGCCGGCTCCAGCAGCGCATCGTCGTCTCCTTTCCAGCATCCCCGGCCCGGGAACAGAGCTCTGCGAAGCACAGAGCTGCATGATGGTGGGACCTGACCCCTCGCGTAGTGATGTGGGGACCCCCTTTTTGTTCGGCGCCTCGGCCTCCTCTATTGGAAAGACAAAAGCTGACCGGTTCCTACGGCAAGGGGTGCGTGGAAAACACCAAAAAGATGCCGCGCTCGGTTCGCTTGCTAAAACTTAACCGTAAAAAAAAAAACAACCCACGGCACGCAGCGGTCTGGCGTGCATCGCACCCCGGGGTGTCAGAGAGCACCCAGCCCCTGTGGCAAGTCAAACCCGGCAGAAAGGGAACTGAAAGCAGCTCCTTACACCCGGGA